AATACTGGAAAATTCTAGAGTAAAAAATGAACATGCTACGACTCAAAAAACAAGCAGCACTTGTAGTGCCATTACTTCGCCAATGACTGTATATCGAGGACCACATATGGCCGATGTTTGGAAAGACACTCATTAGCGACCTACCTGTACGTTTCAGCACCTGCCGTATTCCTCCAGTGTATACCACGTTAGTCAGTTCTTGACCAGAATATTACTTGTCAATATTCTATTACTAGACTATTCTTTCTTAAATATATACGCTTGCACATTAATCTTTTTCTTTTTTTCCTGAACTTGAAGGTCATATTTTTCTTCAAAGTAACACTATATAAAGAATCATCGGTAACTTCCTGTCTCCAATACATATTAGAAAATGCTGTTACAAATTTTGAGGATAGAGAATCAATTCTTGAAAATGTGAAAAGAAAGGTCCAGTCAATCAGTGATAAACAATATACACTGAGTCATGCACGAAACAAAGCTTCCTCCATCTGTTCTACCTTTGCCAAGGCTACTGAAAGAAAAGAAGTTAAGGATTTGCTTGAGAGAATAGAAATGAAAGCAACTCATGATTTGAATGAAATCGCATGCTAACAAGAGCACATAGAATTGAAAGTTTGTGATTCTTTCAGGCTGAATATGAGTCAAGAAAATTACTATATAGAATTGATGAAAATTGAAAATTTAATGATAAATAGGAAGTTGTTTAAGATACGAGATTGACGAAAGAATTAATAAGTATCTTGTAATTAAGATCTATCTTTAAGGTAACAACTGACCAAATATATAACTATATTGTAAGAAGATAAGTCAAATGGATAAACGGACCGTGAGGAGTTCTTTTGAAAATGATGAAAGAGTAACAAATCGTACAAAAACTGATAAGGTGATGATTATTATTAAGTTTATCATATCTAGGCTAAAAATTCTGACTACCTTTTTTGCGATACAAACAGGATAGTAACAATGATCCCGATAATTAAGATAATCCTTTTTAGATATCAGGTGAAAAATCATCCATTTCTTTTCCCAAGGCTGGTTCTCTTCCTTTTTCGATATTGGGTGAAAATTTATCCAATAATGAATCCGAAATAGCAACAAATTCAGGGAATTTAGTTATGATACGATAAATTTTTTTAATTACTAAAATGTAGATGTAGTGAATTTATTTTATATGATACTATTACCATTTAGGAACATGGCAAAGGAGATGGAGTAAAAATACCATGAAATGATGATATTCTTGTTTATACTCCGAACAAGCGACAAATGTATGATAAGAGTGTTATTTAATGAGTTCCATATTCATAGTAAGCATCTAATCTAGAATAAGTATATTTTGAATACTTTATTGTATGTTAGCTACCTCAATGCAATGGGACAGTCTTTAAAATATATAAAAGTTCACGTTCAGACGCCACCTATGTGTATCAAAATTGGGAGCTATCTTGAAATCGCTTTAAAGTAAGTTCTCATGGATATTAATTAGTATTAGATTGGAACATATTTTGATGTCCTTCTGCTCGTTTTATAGAAATCGGGTGAAGCTTTCAAGAAGGGTATTATGTTAAAGATTTAAAGAGATAATGAGAACAAGTTTGTCTATATTGTGAAAAGATATTGATAGATTTGTGAATCTTTATCATTTATTGTTACCTATAATGAATAAATACAGTCAACTCTATAAATGCACCCTCTATAAATGCACCCTCTATAAATGCACACCCTTTATAAATGCACCTTTTTATCTGGTTCCAACTTGGGCTTTAATGCTAAATGCACGTATATACTCTCTGTAAATGCACTCTTTATAAAAAATTTTATATAGTTTACTTATAAATTTTTTGTATTCCTTAATTTTAGATTAGTATTATATAGATTTATATATATTCTATAAATACACACTTTCTTTAAATGCATTCTTATACCTAGTTCCAAGGGGAGTACATTTATAGAAAGTTGACTGTACTTACTTTTTGTTCTAGTTACAATCTGGTAAATGTTTTTCTTGTTCTCTTTATATTGTAAAAATTTGTTTTTGCTTTTTAAATTTTATGAAATAATGTTTGAAGATATAATCATCAACTGGATTGAGTTTCACTCTTATTAGTGAAATTAATAAAATCATTTATCAGCTTTAGAATTGTTAAGTTAAATGCGAAGGGTATATAATGAATGAATTTAATAATTTCATTTGTAATATATAATAATGTTTTCTTGAATACCAAAGGAGTCTGATTGTTTGATGATAAAAAAATATGAAATATGGAGGTTGCAGGTTTTTTCTCATCATCAATAACAGATCATATAGTTGACAACATAAAATATTAGAATTGGATAAGTCTTAATTCCCAATAATAGACTAATAAAAATAGTGATGTTCAATCCAATTCCAATTCCAATGGATTATAATTATATAATTTTGGCCAAATTATAATTTTATATACTATAATTCTGATCAAATTTATAATGCTAGCTTAACTTAAAATTTGAATAATAATAAAATCGTTCTGCTGAATAATCAATAATAAATTTGTTTAACTAAAATGATCCTACTAACTTGATCTTGATTTTTCAAGTGACAGAAAACTTGAAATTAATATTATAAACATTTTAAATTTACTTTATTCGTTAGAAATCAAAATTCTAAATAGAAATATTTAGATATTTATATTAAAAATTTAGGGAAATCTAATTAATTATTTATCAAATTTTATATTAAATAAATTTATAAAATTCTAATAAATATCAATAAAAATGATTTACATAATATATATTTATTAATTATTATAATTATAAACATATTGCTAAATTTATATGTAAATTTATAATTATTAGATAAAGTTTATAGTTTAATAGTCTAAATTTTAATATAATTGAAATAGATTAAGTTTATTAGTCTAATAGTTTAATGATTTAAAAGTTTATTAGTCCAAAAGGTCAACACTGGCAATATAAAAAAATTATTGTATAAAGATATCTTAAACCTTATCATACTTTTATTTGATTATTTAGACATTCTCGTAAAGACTGAAATAATAAAGTATTCAGCTTATAAACTATTGGTTGATGTTTTTATTATTCTAAAAAGTGAAAATTTTGAGTTATTAATCTATATTATACTTAATTGTTAGAGTATTGAATCACACTATATTCCTAGTATAACAGATGATAGCTTTTTTTTAGTATCTGAATTACAGTCATATCTCAATATAACAAAGTTATTAATCTAGCTAATTAGGCCTTTATTATAAGAATTTTCATTAATATTATAACGAATTATTCAGTATATATAATAAATAATTCATTATAGTAGATGATTAATGATTTCATTACACAAATATAATTTTACTATAATATAATTTTTTCAGAAATA